ATGGAGAAGAATGGCGAGCAATCCTGAGGAAGGCCAGGGCTCACAAAGGGCTGTCGTGCCAGTGATGATGACGATGATGATGATGATGATGATGATGAGTTGTATCCTATGACCTAATTGTATAATGATTTATTTACAGACTCTGTTTGGCTTGGTATATATTATTTCCAGTTATGCCATCGAAAACAATTACTTAATTTTTGATGGAAATTTGGAAATTGCAGTTTGGAAATGAGGCTCTTGTTATTTTACTGAACTCAAGACTTTCTTAAAATACAAATAGAAAATCAAAATATCAGAATTCATGCATATTTCTTTTGCACTCATATTTTATTTCTGAATGTCCAGAAGTGAAGCGGTAGTGTAGTTGGTTGATGCACTATGCTACAAGCTGGAAGGTTGCGGGTTTCAATTCCCAGTGAGGTCACTGGATTTTTCAATTGACCAAATCCTTCCACTGCACTATGGCCCTGGCATGGACTCAACCTTTAACAGAAATGAGTACCAGGAATCTTCCTGGGGGCTAAATGGCAGCTGGCCCGTAAGGCTGACAACTTCACCCCCATCTGTGAGCCGATTACCTAAAAAAATGTGGGAGCCTTGTCTTCTCATGACCCTGTGGGCCTCCATGGCCTGCTACAGGGATATCTTCACCTTACCTTACCAGAAGTGATCAATAAATCATTTCCAAATAAGGAATCAGATGTGTAGAGTAAAATTGTTAACTCAGTAGAAGGGTTTCAAAAAAATCAATTTTTGCTAATATAAGTTCGTGAAAATTTGATCTTGTCAACTCACCTCTGTCTAGAGCTGATTAATACATGGAGGTGTATACCTCCATGCCTCAATACATCGTCAGGGTGTGGTGCTTAATTAAGTATAGGGGCACCTTTACCTTCATTATATAATGTACTGTTGTAGGGACGTGTTACGCATGGCTTTTGTGGAGTATATAATAGCTCGCTGTTTCTTCAACTGTTATGTTTTTGGACGTTGTCCATTGTCTTGCCTATTTTCTGAAAACCGTCCTGTTTCTTTTTAACAACACAACGTTTCGGAGACTGGATTCTGTCTCCATCCTCAGGTAAAACCTACTCAGTTGGGTCCAGTAGATAGAGGACGGGGACAGAATCCAGTCTCCAAAACGTTGTGTTTTTAAAAAGAAACAGGACGGTTTTCAGAAAATAGGCAAGATGATGGCTAATGTCCAAAAACATGATACTTCTAGCAATAGACCATCGTCACAAACTTTTAGATCTTATTCGCTCTCTCTTCATTTCTTCATGGTTTGTTATAAGAATACATAGCAGAATCATCATATAAAGATTGATCTTTAAAGATGTTGCCATGTTCAGGTATTTGGTAATGACAATAACAAATTAAAGTATGAAAGCATAAAGATTAATATATTCAAAACTAAATTTTGCATGTTCTATGCCAGTATGATGTTTGGTCTATTTTCTTAAGAGAAGTTGAAGGTGTATGAGGGTAGAGGAATGAGGGGAATATTTGGATATAGAGAGAGGAGTAACAGGGATGGAGCAAACTGCATAATGAAGAACTTCATGAGTTGTACTCTTAATCAGATATCTTGGAATTGTCAAGTCAGATAGGATCAGATGTAGCCCACATGGGAAGTATAAGGTATTCATACAGATTTGGTTGGGAAATCTGAAGGGAGGAGGCCACTTTGGAGACTAATGCATAGATGTGAGATTAGTATTTTATTATAATGTCATTTTGTACTTCATGTGTATTGGTCTCTGTTAGCACAGCTTTATATATTTCATGTGTATGATGTCTATACAAAAATTTATATCGATGGAAACCAGTGCAATTATAATGTGAGATTATTTAAGTGGGTAGATTTTAAAGGGTTCTGATGATGGTGGATGACACAGAATTACTGGGGTTTTGGACTTTTTCCATCGTCTGGAATTTTAGGTAATAGAGGGCACAACTTTTTGGAAACTGGATCTGTTTCTGTCTTCAGGTGAGAAAGGAAGACACAGAAAGGGCTAATCTCAATCACTGGACGACTCCTGTCAGATTTACCCAGCTATTTCAACATATAGGACTAGGCTAGTTAAGTGCAAACAGTAATTAAATGTGGGCTGCATGAAAAGCAAATAATTTTTTAACCAACTGAAAGCTCTTAGCTTCTATAGCAGGACTTTGCTCTTTGGAGTGATTAACTGCTGTATTTTCTTACATCTGAATGTTTAGTAGTCTTCAGCTATAATTGATTGATCTGTAATTATAATCAAACTTTATGCATTTGTTTTTATATCCATTTTAATAATATGTTTTTAATGATGTATTTAATTTGTCTTAAATGTGCTTGCAGTCAAACTACAACAAACCCAAAACCTTCTACATCTTCAACCATGTGGATCTGACCATTACATACCACAGTGGGAAAGGTGAAGACTGGGATGTTGGTTTTGGATCAAATGGTGGGCGTATCATATGTGAGTAAGCTGGTGACAACATTTTATGCATATTTGGTATAGCAGTTAGCCCATTGAGGTCTTAAGTATGTGGTAAAATATATGAAACCATTATTCGATTGACCAATAAAGCAGTGATAGTATAGAACAATCATTGTTTCAGAACAAAATGTCAAGATGAGAGAGCCTGCAGATATGGAGATATGAAATAAACAGTTATTGACATTATGTCATGAAATGTAACATAGTGTCTTAGACTTTGACGGATCTTCGGAACAACCTAGGCACTGGAAATTGGGTACAAGATTTGGAACTTTAAATGTCAGGAATCTCTATGTTTGGGTTTGTTGAGAGCAGTAGCAAGAGAATTAGCAAGAATGAGAGAGATTTGTGAGAGTACGGGAGGATAGACGGAACATGACACTGAACCAGTAGACAGTTACATGTTTTGTGCGGAAATTGGATTGCTAATCATCACATAATAACAGACTTTCTTGTACCTAAAGGAATCATCAGCAGTTGAGATTTTTTAGATTGTTAGTGATAGGAAGATATGTACATTGCTGAGAGGTCATTGTGTGATATTATTGTTCTGTCATTCCCCATCTGAGAATAAAATTGTAATATGAAGGACAGCTTTTATAAGAAACTAGAGTGTCTTCACTGTAAATTCTGTAAGTACCACATGAATTGTTTTTTATGAGATACCAGTGTAGAGAGAGAAGATGTTTTCAAACTGACAGTTAGGCATGAGTGTGTACATGAAACCCAAGATAAGAGTAGTGAACCTTCTGCATCAAGAAATCTGATCTATTTGACATTTGATCTGTTAGAGGAACTGACTTTGGTACCAACTACTGTGGTATCAGAAGTTTAGAGAGAGTTTGGTAGGAAAGAAATGTTGTACAATGCATACACCAGAAGACCAGCTTGGAAAGCGATAGGGGATAGCCTACTTCAACCATGCTACCTGAATAGGGACGATCATATTTGGAAAGTTAGAAGCAGGAAACAAAGAACAGATGTTGGCAAATATTCCTTTGTAAATAGGACCATAAAGGATTGGAACAGTTTACCTGCAGGCATAGTATCATCTTTCCCCTGTAAACTAAACACTTTTATAAAGAGGGTTAGGAAAGCTGTTGCAAGTACAGAGGCCTTAGGCAGAGTTAAATGAATCAAGTGAAGTAATGTGAAGTGTCCTTGTTCGAGTGCAGTGAAACAAACACAAGCATGTGCCCTTTTATAACTACAAGGTGATTCACGAAGTTTTACCCCCACTTAGGGAGGGCATTCCTGAGGTAATTTAGAACATAAAATTTTAATATACTAATGGTATCCAACTCATAATTAAAGAGATACAGTAATTTGAAAACTGGCGATAAGGCTTTTTTTCTTCGAATTTCAGTCAAAACAAATTAGAAATACAATACAAACACTTTTTAAATCGTTAATGTTTCAGGAAAGAAGCATTCTAAAACCATTTTTTTTTCCATTTTCTTAATTTTGCATTCTGCAACATTTTCATCGATTTTATGTTACAAAATTACATTATTTTCAGCATCCCATTCTGTAAACATACCAATGGTTGTATATTCTATCAATCTATTTCCTTTAAACTGTAGATTCACGAAGTTTTACCCCCACTTAGGGAGGGCATTCCTGAGGTAATTTAGAACATAAAATTTTAATATACTAATGGTATCCAACTCATAATTAAAGAGATACAGTAATTTGAAAACTGGCGATAAGGCTTTTTTTCTTCGAATTTCAGTCAAAACAAATTAGAAATACAATACAAACACTTTTTAAATCGTTAATGTTTCAGGAAAGAAGCATTCTAAAACCATTTTTTTTTCCATTTTCTTAATTTTGCATTCTGCAACATTTTCATCGATTTTATGTTACAAAATTACATTATTTTCAGCATCCCATTCTGTAAACATACCAATGGTTGTATATTCTATCAATCTATTTCCTTTAAACTGTAGTGCTTTAGAAGATGACGGGATTTACATAAGATTTTCAAAAATGTCTCCCTGCACGAAACACAACACGTCGCACGCGTATGAACCACGCTCGTAGCATTTTGCAGTTCCACACGATTGTTCCTTATTGTCATCGCCGCATCCAGAATATGTTCAAGCAACGCTTCATGTGTTTGTACCTTTACCTGGTACACAATGTCCTTCATCCAGCCCCAAATGCAATAATCTAACGGCCTTAGATCTGGCGACCTGGGAGGCCAGGCATTACGGCCTCCATGACCAATCCACCGCTGTGAGAAATGCCGATCAAAGTGAGCTGCTACTGTGCGGGAGAAGTGAGGAGGCACCTCATCATGCTAAAAGTACATCCAGCGCCTTGTTGCCAGAGGAACATCTTCAAGTAACTGTGGTAATTCTTCTAAGAAGTGGAGGTAAATCTCACCAGTTAAGTGGCCAGGAAAAATGAACGGCCTGATTAGCTGATCATACAGAACACCACACCAGACATTGACACTGAATCTGTGTTGAAAATTCAACTCTATCGTGGCACGGGGATTATTGTCTGCCCGAACATGTAAGTTGTGATTGTAGTTGACCCTGTCCCGTGTAAACTGTGCCTCATCGCAGAACATTATCAAGTGGTACAATTGCCGATTTCCATTTAACAAGTTGCAGAACTGCAGACGAGGTGATGTACTTGCTGTAAATGATAAGGATGCAGCCCGTTCTCATGAAGAGTCCTGCATGCCATGGACTGAGAAACACGAAACCGCCGAGCTAAACATCTTGTACTGGCATGCGGACTGCATACGTACTGCGATGCTCTACAGCATCGAGAATGTTTTCTTCTTTGCACAGTTCATGTTGAGGATTTCGTTCGTATTGTATACGAATGCCGGGGAGAGAACCAGTTTGTCTCAATGTGTTGAATGTACTGCTAATGGATTTAGGATTCAGAATCCTGCGATTAGGATAACACCGGTGATATTCGGCAGCAGCGGCTTTCGTATTTCCATCACATACACCCAAAACAAACACCATATCGGCATATTCCTCAGTGGAAAATGTGTATGGCATCTTAACTTCACAAAGTCACCAACACAACGTCCTGTTTACTCCTGGATCGCTCTGCCTACCTACGCGCAAAATTCCAGCCGGTCTGCCTTATCTGCTGACACAGCTGACTGGAATGCATGGTCGCCCAGGCGGGAAGCATAGTGCTGCATTCACAATGATGCGTTTCAGAAATCTATTGTTACTCCGTAACTATTGAAAATCGACCACAAGTTTATAAGGAAATTTTGCAGGAAATAACCGCAGGAATATGTACCATAAGCCGGGGTAAAACTTCGTGAATCACCCTGTGTACCTCGTATGTTTGGTTTTGCACTGTGTGTACCTTGTTTATTGTATGTATGTGTTCTCTTATGTTATAGACTATCCTTGTCTGTATCAGTGTAAGTTTTACTGCCACCGGGTGAACACCCCATTGCAGTAAAATAATGATGATGATGATGATGATAACAATAATAATAATAATAATAATAATAATAATAGTTTCATAGATTGAGATATACCAATGAATCTGGTTACAGCGAAATCCATATAGGTAAAAATTTGTATGATGCATCTTTTATTTTGAATGATTGGAAACAACGTTGTCTTCATATCAATGCTTTACAATTTTACTTCAGATTGTTTGTTTAGGATTCGCTGACAGGCGGTGGTCGCTCGATCCATATAGTTCGCTGGCAGAATAAAGCCACGGATTTTTTTTTGTTTTGTTTGTTTAGGAAGGGCCAAAAAGGGAAGGATGCGATTGGAATTGAAATGGGACACATCAGCTTCTGATATATGCTGCTGATTCAAATTTTATTTCACAGAATCATGAATACCATAAAGAAATAGATACACACTCTCTGTTAGATGATGATAAGTAAGTTGATTTGTTTCATTCTGGCCCGTCACACTAATATTATGAAAAAGTTAAATAGTTCCATTCAGTGTGACTGGTTAAGATTTTCTTATTTCAATTATTTATGCCCTTACATGTTTCGGTCCTCAGAGACCATCTTCAGAGGGACACCTTTACATCAATACAGTTAGAAGCCACTATTACACTACATGTTCTAAAAGCTAAAATATATACACTCAACTCTCGGTTATCTGGGGGCGGATAAACCGGTTTGCAGCTTAACCGGGGCTACTGGGGCTCTTTTGAGGCTTATGTTGTTTAATATTCATTCACTTTTGTTTCACATGGTGAGTTGTAACACTATTTTCGCACTAGTGTGAACTGAGCTCTGCATTTTTTGGTCCCGTTATGCTAACACAATGTTCTAGTGTAGGGGTGAAAGAATGCAAAGATTTGTGGCAGATACACCGCCCCAGTTAGTCTCTTTGTATCGATCTTCAAGTGCGTTAGCAAAATGTCAGGGTGTAAAAGGAAGCGTGTTGTGTTAAGTATTCAACAGGAGCTTGAAATTATCAATCAGTCAGGAAAAAGAAGTGTAGTTAAACAATTAGCAATGCAATACAGTATTGGAGAACAACCTGTTCGTTATTTGAAAAAACAAAAGAGTCAATTACTTTCCTTTGATTCGTCTTCTAATTCAAGTGGAATGAAGAAGAGAAAAACCATGAAAAAATCAACATATGATGATCTCAACAAAGCAATGCTGATCTGGTTTAGTCAGCTAAGGGCACAGGGAACAATAATAACAGGAGCAGTTTGTGACTCGTGTGAGCCGGGCTTTGAAATGTTAAGCAGTGACGAAATCGTAAGTTCATCACATGGTGCTGCTCTTAATCATAGGCATCCTTACTAGACTATCTTGAGAGTGAAGAGAACAGTTTATTAAGTGACAAGCTAATATTACATAGGCTTTGTATGGATATCTGTAAAAAGGAAAATGCTGCGAAAAAGCAAACAACAATATTACATTTTTTTAAGTGTTAAGTGTGAATATTCGTAAAAAGTGTTGGATGTTGTTGAACACTGATTGAAATAACTAATTCATACTTCAGTGTAATGTAAAAAAAGTATTAAATAGGCCATGAGATGACATAAAAATGAGGTTGAATAAATTTAAATACAGGTAGGCCTATAGTATTATGAAGGTACAGTATTACAGTACTACTTAATAAAATTTGTCTTAACCGGGTTTTCGATTAATCGTGATTTCCATCCCCACAATTATCCTGGATGATTGAGAGTTGAGTGTACATACAATGTAAATAATATACAACTAGCTGTAAAATCTTACGTCTTTACATCTACAGTGGCTGTTCCAATACTTTAAAATATTTATAGTTGGTTTGTTAAGATTTTATTGGAATTCGTAAACCAAGCTGGTTTGTGTTCCTCTTATTATTTCTTTTGATGGGGGCTGAACGTCTGCTACCTTGTTGTTCTCAAGAAGAGGGTTCTTTAATATTGTCATGTATGTGTCTGTGCCCCGCTGTGTTGTTTAAACAACACAGCAGACATAATAGTTTTTATTAATATGTTTCAGGAACTTTTGGATTGCATCACGTATTAGGGCATAAGAAGGGGGAAGTAACAGGATAATGAAGAAAAATGTATAATAAGGAGCTTCATATTTTGTTCTCTTCACCAAATATTGAGATGGTTCAAACATGGAAGATAATGTGGGCTGGTCATGTAGCGTGCATAGGAGAGATGAGAAATTCCTTTTAGTTTTATGCAGAAAGCCTCAAGTCAAGAGAACCTTTGAAAGGCATAGGCATAGTTGTGTTGTTAATGTTGAAATGGGTCTTAATGAAATAAGAGTGGAAGGCTGTGGAATGGCTGCATTTCGCTTAGGATAAGGTCCAGGGGCAGACTGTTGTGAACATGGTAAGGAACCTTCAGGTTTAATAAAATGCAGCGGATCCCTTTACTAGTTGAGTGACTCTTAGCTTCTTAAGGAGGGCTATGCTCTATGGAGTTATTTTTTTAGTTATCATGAGCCAGTTTAATTTATCTCACATCCTTACAATGTTTAGTACCATTACTATTCTCCTGTTGCCTTCTTGCAACTCTCTTTCCCACTAAAATACTATGTACTTACAGGTTTTGTGCTATAAGGAAGCTGGTTATAAATAACAATATTTTATGTACTATGAAGTACTTGGTTTAGGTCATGTAGCAAACAGACTAGAATTAAAGACCTGGAGAAATAAAATCATTTGTATGTGTGATATGTGCATATGTTTTAGACACGTCTTTTCTAGTTTTTCTCCAAACTCCATTCATTTTACTCCTAATGGGAACAATTTTTATAGTTTATAATAATTTTGCAGAGTGGATACTTCTATTTCTTAGTGTCATGTATGAAGCTATGGTGTTCTTCCATCTTCAGCACCCTTCAAAGACAAGAGAGCTCAATATATGTTCTATAATTGTAGAGAATAGCATCAAATTATTGTATTTTTCTTTCAGCTGTGAAAGTGACTCCTCGCAGCATCAAGCACTCAAATCCTGCCAAACTTGACTGTTCTGAGAAAGAACCAATGGATATACCAGGCGGCGATCTGGAAGATGATTTAAATATCATATACTCATATAGCGTCAAGTTTGTGGTAAATATCCAGTCATAGAATTCGTGGGGCAGAGTCCTTGAGAAGCTGATAGTTGATCTGCTAGTCAATAAATTCTTTGCTTTTTGTGCAATCAGAGGATTCGTTATTGTGTTCACAGAAGCCTGCCACTGGACCCTGCCCTGAGCCTAAATAAATCCCGTCCACACCCTCACATCCTACTTCTCTGAATTCCAGTTTAAAATTTTGTTCTCCCATTTACACTTAGGACTTAAGTCTGTCATGTTTCCTGACATTGTATTATGCATATTTCTGATGAACTCTCTGTCTTATCCACATTGACTTGATCTTTGTGTATAATTGAAATTATAACATGAATACACATTTTCTTATATAATGACATCAAAATTATATAGAAATACGAAACTGTAGCAGGTGCCATGTTTTGTTTCAGATGAATAACACAATCAAATGGTCATCACGATGGGATTACATCCTGGAGTCAATGCCACACACAAATATACAGTGGTTTAGCATTCTCAATTCTCTTGTCATAGTTCTGTTTCTGTCTGGCATGGTAGCCATGATCATGCTCAGAACTCTTCACAAGGATATTGCCCGCTATAATCAGGTAAATGCCATATTTTACGTGGCTTCAGTGGGCAGTACTTACAGGACATTTTTGTATACACCACTGGAAACACAGTCTGTTAGGCAGCTTCAGTTTGAGGCCACTGACACTATTGTGTGGTCTGAGGCATTGTACCTGCACTTTGTGTATGTCATTTTTGACATCAGGATCTCAGTTTCAACGTCTGGAAACTTTTCTCATATTGTTGACATCCATCTGTCTCAAATGAGAGAGAGGAAATTGTACGAGGAGAGCAACAGAAATTATTTTTCTCTGAACTTTGATATATAATGGGAGAATTGAATCCAGTTGAAGTGGTATGGGTAGCTGTTAAAAACTGTGTTGTTGGTAGTGATGTGACATGGAAATGAAATTGATAATACTACATGAAAAGTGTTTGACCTTTCCTCTTGCAACATGTAATTGTGCAAGTTACATCTTCTGATTTATTGAACAGAATTAATACAAAGTAGAGAAAAGAAACATGCATTACTTTTCAGTATAGTTCCTTAGGATATCTACACAATTTTTGCATTTTTTTTCTGTGTTGAAAGCTGCAATAAAGCAACTTTTAGGAGGTGTGTTTAAATTAGTAGGTGCTGCTGGCTTATGGATTTGAAAATAGAAAGTGGGTCTTACATCAGAAACAACCAGAAGGTCACTGTGTGAGGGGTCAAGTGAGTATGAAAGGTATGGGGTACTTGATGATTTCCAAACAGGTCTTGCACCATGATGAGAACTGTCATATCACTATGCAACTACTAGTTTTAGTAAATATTTTCGGCTTTTGTAATCTAAAAGAAATTATGAGAATATTATTATATTTTACAGATTGATTCAGGAGAAGATGCACAGGAGGAGTTTGGTTGGAAGCTGGTGCATGGTGATGTTTTTCGTCCACCTCGCAAAGGAATGTTGCTATCTGTATTGCTGGGTTCAGGAACGCAAGTGTTCTGCATGTCCCTCATTACTTTGGGTAAAATTGTGTTATCTTGTGGAAGGAACAGGATGGAATTGATAGAGATGTTAAAAATTCCATTTTAGTCAAGATTGTAAAGTGTGGTAATGCAGTGATTTTTACAGACTGATTGCTATGGTATTTATTACTGGGCTCTGGCCATCATTTTAAGGGAAGGTAGTGGAGGACTATGTTCAAAAGTATTGCAGTTAATTGTAACATGAGGGGCCACAACTATTATTCTAATGAAAAACATTTGTCATATGTGCCCAGTACTTGGTACATACAAAAAATAACTCTTGATTTTCTGTGGCATTATACTGTACTCATAACACCACTGCAAGACACTTCCACTGCACAAGAGTGGTTCAGGCACTTTTTGTCAGTGCTACTGCCCATAATGGATGGAGCTACTCCACATATTGAGCATAACCCAGCACTGTGTTCTGCAGCTTTGATTGCCTTCATCTCAACTGGTGTCAGTGTCAGAACTGCAATTCCTCGCGTGCACAACAATTTCCTGACCTTTCTCAAGAAGAGTTTTGATAGCAACATACTGAGCTTCTGTAGCAGTAATGTGATTGTTAGTTGTTGATCTAGCGGCCTTCGTGGTCTAGAGGTAATGTTCCCACCTCATGACTCATGGTACGCGGGTTCAGACCCGCCGGAGGTTGTGGAATTTTTAAGGGCGAAAAAATTCAGGCAACAAGTCCTCCGGGAGGGACTTTAAGCTGTGGGTCCCGTGTCGTAGCTTTACGGCACGTAAAAGAACCTCATATCTCCAAAGGAGGTCACTGAGCCAAATTCAAGGACATTTCCCGCCCAACAGTAGTCTCTGACGCCTCTGATAGATGGGGGAAGCGTTATAGATACCGCCAAGCCAGTAGAGGCCGAACTCGCTGGCTCGGTTGGGACTGATGGCACGCACCAATATCGGTAGGGTATAGAGACTGGTAGAATATAGAGGGAAGCACAATGGACCAATACTGGTCTAAGTGCATGGGGAAACCCACCCTCTCCAATAACTAACTAACTAACTAGTTGCTGATCTTAATAATGTATTTAATTTATATTACATACCTTTGAAGAAAATGATAAAGTTTGGGCTTATCTGCAGGTATATTATGGGTTATACAGGATTACTACTGACTAAAGTTGAAGTCCTTTAAAACTTTTTATGTTGACCTTCAATACCAAATGCAGTTGAAATAATTTGAGTAGTTTTGGAAATGTAATGTATGGAAGATATATATGTGTATATATACACATACTTGTCCTGTCCACTTGGAATTAGTTTTTACCACTTTATGCAAGAAGCATTAATTAAAGGGCTAAAAATTGTTAATAGAATCAATCTTGATAGGACATACAATATAAAAACATTGTTTTTGAAGCTGTTTTTTATTGATATTCTGCTATATTTGTTCCAGCATTTGCTTGTTTAGGTTTCCTGTCACCTGCAAATCGTGGAGCATTAATGACTTGTGCAATGGTATTGTTTGTGTGTTTGGGCACTCCAGCTGGTTATGTATCAGCTCGTATATACAAAAGTTTTGGTGGAGAAAAATGGAAATCTAATGTTCTTCTTACTTCGATGCTTAGTCCAGGGTAAGTTTTTAGAAAATGAGCTTTGAATGGGTGGGTTTGTTGAAGCTTCCTAACTTGTACCATTGGCCAGATATATCAAGATGATGAGGTTGAGAGTGTTAGGTATATAGGATACTTGAGAGATGAGAAATGGCCACAAAAGTTTGGTCAAGAAGTCTGAAGGGAAATTACTACTTAGGAAGTCTGGGAACAATTGGGAGAATAGTATTAAATTCTGTGTTGAAGAAGTGGCATGGAAGTGTGGACTGGGTTCATCTGGCCCAGGATAGGGGCCAGTAGTAGGTTCTTGTAGGCATGGTAGCGAGTCTTCGGGCTCCATATATGGTAAGGATATTCTTGAGGGGCTAAGAAACTGTTGATTTGTCAAGAACTGCTCTATTGCATGGAGATTGTTTTCCAGGCCTTTGTATCCTGCTGTAAACATTTTATATTTTACCTTGTTTTGACATTGATAATTGTTGAAGAGTACAAATTATGAAGCTCCTCATCATGTCATTTTCTCTCTCTTGTTATGGCCTCTTTCTTAGCCCCAGATGTTCTCCATATTCACTGTTAAATATGGATATGGATCTTGATATCACTCTTCAAGGAAGAGAGGCCAAGATTCATACCCATATGTACCAACAGAGTAAAATTGTTTTATATGCTCTAATACAAGGGTTCCCAATCATTTTGGATATCAGATCATTTGCTGTGTGGATTTTCTGTGGTGAACAACTTGAATATTTAAGAACATGGAATGAAATAAGAGTAAATAATCAACATTTTCACCCCTCATGACTTAAAATGAAAACAAAATGAAGACTGTGTTATGCAAATCACATGTGTGCGTGTGTGCTTGTGTCCTTGATGGGGAGGTGGACCACTGGTGGTCTGCTAACCATGAGTTTAGGTTTTAAAATAAGACACAGGGAGATAAGGGGGATCTGAACTGAATGATAGGAAGAATTTTCCAATTTCAGTCTGCAGCAGTGGGATATAGCAGCAGGTAAAGATTAAAAGAATAGGCAGGTTTGAAGTTTATCACAGTTAATCGCTATTAGTGGTGCTGGTTATAATGGTCAAGGGGAAATTGATGAAAAGAATAGTGAAAGAAGCCTGAAAGCTCTGGAATAATGTACTGGATTTTGGTTTTGTTTACAAAAATGTAAGAACCTTACTTGTTGCAGTGTTGTATTCTGCTTATTCTTTGTGATGAACCTGATCCTCTGGAGCAAGGGCAGCTCTGCTGCTGTTCCTTTCACGACCCTTATTGCACTGCTTGCTCTGTGGTTTGGAGTTTCTGTTCCACTCACCTTCATTGGAGCATATTTTGGATTCAGAAAGAGGGTATGGCTAGAACCTAATTTTAATTGGCAGATGAGTACCTTGTCTTAATCAAAATAATTTAATATTATTGTTCAGTATCTGTAGTGTGTCCGTTATTTTGTCGCACCTATGTATGTTCATTGAAACAGAATATTGCTATAACAAAAATTGGTGAAGACGCTACTAATGTTTCAAAGTATACTTTCAGTTTAAATAATGCGCCTCATGTAAATCTGACGTTTTTCTTGTAGGATTAAAGGTTCTCACAGCAGTGGGTATGAAGAGTTCTGTCTTTTGGGATTTAATGTCATGTAGTCAGCTAGGTTTCGGAGGAACTTATTGCCCCATCTTCAGGGTTGAAGAGTAAGTGAAGCAAGGAACCTGCATGAAGGAGGCGCTTGCCTATAACTTCAAGTTGGTTTCTTGCTTGGCTTACTCTTCATCCCTGAAGGTAAAGGCATCATGTTCCTCCAAAATGTTAGTTGAATTTCAACGGACTGCAAATAATTTTATCCTGGAATATAGACCTGTTGATGTTTTCTCTATTTGTAGTCGTAAAAATGGAAGGACTTTATAAGCCATGATAGTGCAGTAATTGAAGTGACTGATTGTGGGATGGATAACTAGGGTTCCATTCCCAGCAGATAACAGAGATTTTACTTTCTACCACTATATCTAGATTGTCTTTGGGCCCATCGAACCTCCTGTCCAGTGGACTTGCAGGGTCTCTTCCTGGAGGCAAAGTTACTGGTGTATGAAAGATGAAAATAAAGACTGCACAATGAAGTATCATTTGCAACCACTGAGAACTGGTGCTATTAGACTTCTGTATTCAGAATTGCTGAACAAGTTGCTGACTTAGCTGTGCCAGAGCAAGTGTCTGAATTGAAAGCATTTCTGCCATAGTGAATTGATTTCTTCTTTAATTTCCAAATGTTTTCTCTAGTTTGATAAACTTTGAGACTTACAATATTACCAAGCTAAAGTATTCTTTCATTTTAAGTTTTTTTTTTGTGGGGGCGGGCTCAGGTTTTGTGCATAACTATGGATTTCACAGTCTGGCATATACAGTGATTTATGTATGAGGGCTATTCAGAAAGTAACTGCTGGTGAGCTGTTAACAGTATAAGCAATGAGGAAAAAAATTATATGCAAAAAAATACATACATACATAAGCTACTTCTCAATGTAGTCACCACCAGAACTGAGGTACTCGTCATATTGGGGAATAAGTTTTTGTATGCCTGTGTAAAAGAAATCTGCCAGCTATAGTAGCATAAGTAATATATATATATAATTTTTTTTCTCGTTGATTCTTTTGTTAGTATCTCACCAGAGGTTGCTTTCCAAATAGCGCTATGCTTACCAACAATGATAAGCAAGTAGGAGAATCCACAAACCTACAGTTTTGTGATTCCTGTTTTGAGCTTTTATGTTACTAACGTTTCTATAATATTTTATAACAACCTGTACTGTTATTACAGCCAATTGAACATCCAGTGAGAACGAATCAAATTCCTCGGCAGATCCCAGATCAGAGTATCTACACACAACCAGTTCCAGGAATTATCATGGGTGGAGTTCTTCCATTTGGCTGCATTTTCATACAACTGTTTTTCATTCTGAACTCACTGTGGTAAGGTGATACATGGTCTGCTTCCTAGTATACAATTTTGATATCGTATCGTCACATGTATGAGTGACTGTAGACAAGGTTTGGATTGGTAATTGGATTTATTGAACTCTTTACTGATTTTAACTACAAGTAACTATAGTGCTATTGCCAATTCACATGCTCTGCAATTCACTACAGCATGCACTAAGTCTTTTCAATCTGCTGTTCCTTCATCAGTCGTCCTAGTAGCAACTCCCAGTGGCAGACATTCCCCTTACTCTGGAGCAACAGCTCACAACAGCCAAACTGCAGCAGATGTCTGACTGCTTACCAACCAACTTGCTTCACTTCACTGTAGTCAACTGCACTGCACTCACTGACTGAACTGAATTCAGTCTCTTGAGTCATGTATCCTCAGAGCCAACCCACAGAGAACACTATTTGAAATATCTCTCTGTTGTTTTGCATGATGTGACATGTTCCTCTGTTGTGCGTGTACAGGCAGTTACCTAGTAACAGGTCTACTTACAACAATATATATTGTGACATAACAGCTGAAAGTCATAACAGTGGAATGAATAGATGCAGCCATTGCTAGGCAAGTGCGCTGTAAACGTATGTTCATGGCAGCATATTAACATGCAACAATAGATGAACCATTGGATGCAGTGTTTTCTGTTCATTTGATGCAAAGACTATGGAAGACCACCATCTTGTATCAAGAGCCAGTTAGAGGTTAGAGGTAGCAATTCGCAGTCTTGAGCTGTATTGTTAGCAGCAGCTATCTAGCAACAACTAGTGAAGAAACAGAAGACTTATGTGTGCTGTACTTGCAGTGATCTGTGCAGTGTAAATTAATGATATTGTTACAGTTATTTGTAGTTATTCGTTACAAGGGTCCAGTAAATCAAGTTATCAATCCAAACCCTGTGTTTAGTCACTAACATGTGGTAGTATACTATTTGTTAAAAACTTGTTCTAGTTTTTATTTCCATGAATAAATATATCCCAGTTTAAGAAACTGGTGGTGTTGAATATGAGTTAAATAACTGACAGGATCCACAAATGTTTACAAAACTGGAAAGAGCATGTTACAGATTCACTTCACAAAGAATGATGAACCAGTTACCCCTGAAGTTAGATTAAAAATGAGAAATGGAAATTGGATGTATATTTGCGGGAGATGAGGTTAAGATAGGATTTTTTGTGCATCTTCCAAAAAAGTAGATGGATAGAGACCAGTACCTGTCCAGGGCATTTGGAGATGTTACTAACTACTGTGCTGTAGGTTCAGGTGTGATCTTGCATATAAGCTATATGAACATAAATGACAGACTGTGTTTTGAACCATAATTTCTGTATTTGCAGGTCAAGTCAGATGTACTACATGTTTGGCTTTTTGTTCCTGGTATTCATCATACTTGTTATCACTTGCTCAGAAACAACAATCCTGCTCTGCTACTTTCATTTGTGTGCAGAGGTAACTTAATTTCTAGTTTGCTTTCTTAATATGAGAGTAATTGAGTAAGTATATATACAAAAGCTGATGTCTAAATAATGTTCATTGAAAAATCGAAACTGTCACTGTTTTTCAGTATAGTCTCCCATAACAAGCATTGCCCAGTGGTAATGAATTCTTTGACTTGGTGTTGGATCCAGTCTTATAAACTTCTTTTGACTTCATCATTATCAGCAAAATGCTTCCTGCACAGTGCTCATTTCTTTGTTGAAACAAATTGAACTCACATGGTAAGTCCAGGCTAGGCAGGATGAGGCAGTACTTTGCAGCCCATTTCGATGGTTGTCTGCTGGGTTAATTGAGCACTGGAAGGGTGGGTATTATCCTGCAGAAGAACAGCACACACTCTCCTTGAAGTCGAGGATGTTTGTGGAGTACCTCAGTTTGACTTTGAGACTAAAATGATGCTGGCTGTTGATAATTGCAATAAACAGGTCATCCATAAAAAAAAAAAAAAAAAAAGAAAAAAAAATTGAAAGCATAACCTTACCTGCTAGCAGTCTTTTTTACTCTTTTTTGCCACTGATTTTGGATGTTTCCTTGCTGTGCTGTGTCTCCATTGGAAACTTCATATGGATAAATATCCACAAATAAGAAGGAAACAAATGAATGGGAATTTAATATTCTTATTTGGTTACTAGACTGAGCTGAATTCATGAAGCAGATTTCTTGAGAATCCAGTTCAGTGGTTGTTCCGTTCACTCAATACATTTCTCACGTGTAATGATTGTATCATGTTTACAAGAACTATGATGTATATTGCACAAGTACTTGGAAGTTTTGATAAAATTAAAAAGAGAAATTGCAGGTGAATTTGTTTTATAAGCACTCCATTCTGCATGGATCTGTCATCAGTTTGAAGTATGAATTTCAGCATTCAATTTTTTTTTATTCAGTATTACAGTGGGACAGGTAGATTTGAAGGTCATATAATGCTTTTCATAACTGGAGGAGTTTCTGTTGCTAAAATTCATCGGTGGCTGCTTGCGATGTTGCCCATTTCACAATGTTTCAGTTGGAAGGACAGTGACTGTCATCTGTTATTTCTGAAATTAACCGCTAGATGTAAATTGACTGTGAAATATAGATTCAATAGTGTACATGCCACAAGTGTTGCGTATATAAAGATATACTGTAGTGTTAATAAGAATTATCTTGTTTGAGATACAGACTGTTGTAAGCAACGTGTTCATATGTTTTATTATTTCTACATATAAGTACAAATCAGGAAGATGATAATTTTAGAATATTGTATATATGTACAGATTGATTTTCTGTTTCATGTTCATTATCATGCTTAATATTACTAGTGTATTAATATTGGTTAGCTTTTTTGGGGTATTAGAAACTGAAGCCTTATTTTTTTTACCCTTCCTGAGCATATTCTCATGAGTTTATATTTATTTCTTTTTTCATGTTCTTAAATTTGAAAGTGTAAAATAATGCATTAAGATGTGTTGGTAGCAGTAGTGAGTAACAGTATTGTTTCCAGGATTATCATTGGTGGTGGCGAAGTTTCCTCACAAGTGGTTTTACTGCCTTCTACCTGTTTGTATATTGTATCCATTACTTTGTCACGAAGCTCAACATTGAAGATACTACTTCTACGTTCCTTTATTTTGGATACACACTCATCATGGTTTTCCTCTTCTTTCTGTTAACAGGTAAGTTATTAGTTTTAGCATGCTACATAGTGCCTTTCACTTGAGAATGTTTGGATCTTATATATTTACGGTTGAAGGGCTCTGCTACAAGCCAGAAGGTCGCGGGTTCAAGTCTTGATAAGGTCGTTGGATTTTTTCAGTTAACCTAATCCTTCCAGCTGCACTAGGCCTTGGGGTTTTTTCAGCCTCTAAGAAAAATGGGTACCAGGAATGAAATAAATTTCCTGGGGAGTAAAGCACGGCCGGTGCATAAGGCTGACAACCTTACCGCCATCTTTGAGCCGATTGTCTAGATAGTGTGGGTCCCTCACCGTCTCACAACCCTATGGGCCTTCACGGCCTGTTACAGGGATAGCTTTACTTTTTCTACTTTTACATTTACAGCACAGCTCACAGACAAAGATCAAGTTTTCCCCTATTTCAAAAACCTTGAAAACTAAGAGTTTTAATAAATATATCATAAACTAGTTCAGCTATAATTGTATATCTGTGTGAAGTTTTATCATAACATTTGTCATTATTTGGGGCAGTTAATGTCCCACTGTAACAACTTACTCTTCTTGTTGTCAGTCTTTATCCACTCGTCACTTCAGCATACCACTACTACTGCTACTGAGCTCTTCTTTTGTCTTCTTTCTTATCCTCCATTGAACTGAAAACTGAACTTGCTACTGTAACCAGACTCATTACTAGACTGCAGTGGCTTAACCTTTAACGGCCAAATGTTAGATATATCTAACAGCAAGCAGCACCCCTAGTTGGCTGAATGTTATGTATATCTAACACGGTACTCGTGCTCTCTTTGGGAGTGCTGACAGTTTGACCTTGGGTTTGAAACCAAAACAATTCTACGTGAGGTCATGTCAGTACTTCATTCCTTCAGCTCTGAACAAAGAAATCGTTTATCACGGTACTGGTTTCGAAACTATTTACGTTTAGATATGACTGTTTATGACCTGGTCAGCCAGATATGGCCCAGTTTTGTTTCGAGAACTGATGAAATATACATCGGCGCTTGCATATGAGTGCTTCCAGAGTTTTCAAGGAAGTGTGACGCATTCAAGGATTGGTTTTGAGTGGCGTATTATCAGTCAGGAAGTCAGTGTCAGACTGTCATATTTCTTTATATATAATTTTTATTTTGTGTCTTGGAAGAGGTATAAACCCACTGAGCCAGTATTACTTTGTGAGTAAAAGGCATGTTCACCACTGTGACTTTCGGTATCAGTGTCAGACTGACACTCGTTTTCTACTAGTATTGTAGTTACTTTGCATCAATATTTTGCGAGTATTACTAACAGGTGAGAGTGTCGCTTTGTCAGTCAACATAATTTATTCGCTTTTGCTAGAAACCCCCCTCCCCCAAGATGATTATTCAATCGCACAAGCTGAATATCACAGTCAGTGGCGTTTCTCGAGGGGAGGCCAAAGTTATCGGGGGGCCCAACTGAGTTGACTGGAGGTGAAACATTCACAATACCGGCCAACCAAAAGGAAACAAAGACGTCGTGTGTTTCGCTATATAAGAAAAGCTGGAGCATTCTCTTCTATTGTGAAAAGGCTGGTGTCACTCTGTGTGAGGTGGACTGCTTCGAGAAGTGCCACGCGCATCAGAGTGTAACGTAAACTGTGAACTGACGCAGTTCAAACTCGTGTACAGTCTGAACAAAATATTATTGTATATAGTGTGACTATATTTAAAATATCACCATGATTCAAGGTTGAAGAAATTTGGAATTTCATAACATATATAATAAAGATTTTATTTTGCATTTCATGACAAAATAATCACAGTTAATTTTCGTTTGTAAAAATTGCTCTTTTGAGTATATGTAGAAAATTTTGTCTTTCAGGCTGTTTTTAGTTCGTATTTCTGTGTTGCGTAGAACGGAAAATATGTATTTTTTCTGAAAGTTTGCAATGTTAATTAATTAGGGCGATTTAAATACCGGCCGCAGAGGGCTCCCGGCAATTTAAAAGTCCATATGTTAAAGGTTAACTCACATCACTCAGTGCTTTATGATTGTTTCGTTGTTGGACACATAGCACTACACTGCAACTAAACTCAGCCATACTTGGGGCAAGAACTTTCAACTGATAGTGTTTGTAGGTGTCATCCTTGATGTGCCCTAGACATTTTTCTGAAATATTAATGAAATTGAAAAAAAATTGGGGGGTTCAGTATTTTGCTCAGACGAGGCAACATGGCCTCCCTCTCCCACTCCATGCTCATCTCCTGCACCATAATTAATTTTAACATACTGAATTTCTAATACCCTTTTTGGACACGAAAATGTTATTTACCAGGTTGCCAAATGTATAATACAACAGGGGTCATGTTGCATGAATATATGTGTAATTAAAGATACCATTAATGCTGAATGAGTAAAATATTCACTGTCAGATATGTGCAGTTTTATTCATAATGACTTTGTTTGTGTTACTGAAGATAGTATGTAAAGATATAATAGCAGTCTTTGCAAGAAATATGAGAATTGATAACAAAGGTCTTGTATTTGCTGAAGGCAAAATGAATAATAATCAGCATTCTTACATTTCTTTCCTTCCCCTTTTCCTTTTTGTATTATATGTATGTTTATTGATTGGGTCAATTATTTATTATGTTAATTTATTAAAGATATGTTTTGTAAGTATTGGGATTTTGAGAATTTGGTCTTTATTTTCTAGCCATCAGAACAAGGATGAAATGATGTTTTGTCTAGTGTTGAAACATAAAGATCTCGCACAAAACATTACATTGCACCCATGATAGACTCCTTTAGAGGCATAAATTAAATTTAGAATTAATTTCTTGCATGTATTATCTATTTAAGACATTTCCCACTGAATTTGAGGTTGGTTCTTGACTTTGGAGGCTTTTTATGGATTATTAATATGCCAAGTATATAATTTAAAGGGATGCTGTAAATTGTTAAGTCATTTGTTTTTATATCATTTTGTTAGTTTTTACTGTCAAAAAATTAAGGGAAGAACATGGATGATGTTTGAGAAGGAAGGGCTCAGGACATAGGAAAGAGGACGTAATAGATTGAGCGTGTAGAACTTTTAAGGAGAAAGGTGCATTATATTATGAACCATTGTAAGTATAGATGGTAGGATGTATCAGAATAAAAGTTTAGTAAGGACAGGATGTAAAGGTATGGACTGGATTTAATTTGCTTATTTTTACCAATGTGCTTTTGTGAACACTGTGATGAATCTTTGGGTGCTATAAAAGGAGGGAATTTCTTGACTTGCAGGTTTCCAAGCAAACCCTGTACCTTGGAGATTATTATTTAGTTGTGAATATAATGTAACATTCTTAGATGTTGGCTTGTAACTTGAAATATTCTACTTTCCAGGAACCATAGGCTTTTTTGCATGCTTCTGGTTTGTAAGGAAAATCTACAGCGTGGTGAAAGTAGATTAAGTGAAGTTAAGCGTGGTGAGTAGTTAAACAGTGGAAGTTTGTGATAAAAATGTGTCCAGACCTAAATTAATCAAAGTACTGCTTTCCACATGAAGTGGAACTGTGAATATATAATGAGAAGTTTGAAGATAAATGGTGTTTATCAAGCTGTGTTCTGTCATGGTGGTGATGATGTAGATGGTAACGATAATGCACAGAGCCATACAACTTATTTAATAACAAGAAGGGGAGACAATAATTATGTATAATTGTCATGCTGCATCGTTTTGAAAATAGAAAGTGTTATATTCCATTGCAGTATACTTTTTTTTTGATGAAGTGAGGAGCTGATTCTATGTTTTAGCAATTCAACACAACAAAAACAAACACATTTCTCAATCTCTTGAGAAAGATCACATTGAAGCTAACTACAGATAAGAGAGAAATTTATCATCCTGAAGCATAGGCTACTACATAACCATATAGTAATTGCATAGATTAATGATAGATTTAGAGGTAATTTGATATTTAAGAAGTAGTCAGACTAGTTTATGTTTCTTTTTGTGGATTTGTTATGAGCCTTTGGTTTGTTAACAGAATTATAACAGATTATTTCAGTGTTAGACATTAAAATTTTGCACATTTCTTATGCACGGCCTTGACGTGTATAAAAGAAGTCTGTGAACCAAGAGTATTAATAACAGTAATATTATTACAAACATTCATATTAAATTTTTACTTCAAGAGGATCCTTGATGTACAAGTACTGTGAAACTGGGTTTCTCCAAAAGGTGGTTTTTGTTTCCAAATCTTTCATGCATCTTGGCATTCTTAAATGGTCTTATGAAGAAACAAATTCTGTACTTGAGAATGGCTTAATTATAGTAGTTTGTGTGATTTGAGAAGGTTAATATTTACCCTTCCACTGTTAATGGAACATTTCATCCAGGTGGGAAAACTCATTTTGTTCCTCCAAACAGAAAGTACTGTAACTTCAGATTTTAGCGGGAAATTCCACCATAAATGAATACATATTTGTGTGTGTGTGTGGGGGGGGACACGCAGGTATGGGCATGGGCATGTATATTTAGAGACGAATTATTGTACAGTTGACTGAATTTCTACATGTGGATGTATTTTTTGCTAACAGTGGAAGGATTATTTAAAGATGGAGGACACAAGAAAGTCAAATCACTTTCACATATACACAATTAGACTTTCAGAGCTCATATAAAATTAAACTTTCTCAGCTACAGGTTGTCTTGTAGAATATATGTAAATAATGTTCACTGTAATCCTTTGACTGTTAACATTACGTTACCTTATCTCTTCTGAGCGCATAGTCTTTGGGATTGACGGTGAATAGATAAATTTATATTTCTGAAGTCTTATAATGTGACACCTCAGTTCTTACACTGGTATTAATTTTTAAGGAACAAGACAGCCACTAATTGCACCAAACTTTCACTGAATTTTTCAGTTGGAATAATTGGCTTGCATGTTTTTGACCGAAAGGACCATCTTCGGAGGCTTGTACTTGTGTGCATGCTTAAAATTATATCTAAAAGTATTAGATATTGTACTATATACATTTCTCTTTAGTACATGCAAGAAGAAATGTATATAGTATCATGTCTAAGACTTTTAGATACAACTTTAAATGTGCTGCTAAACAGTCTCCATTTATTACACGAGTCTTTGAAGATTATTCTGTAGGGCCAAAGTATGTAAGGCAATTTTATTGACTGAACATTTTATTAAAAGTTTTTTTACACACTATAGTTGTCTTCTTTAACAACTAATTAATTGTCACAAGAACTGTATAAAAATGAACTTCGCAATTCTGCACAGTGGTTTATGTGCGGCCCTCAACAAGCAAAAAAATATATTATTGAAATATTAAAATTTTCATTAAGATTTCTATCACTTGAGTAATAAATAATAAAAATCTTTAGTGAAAAATGTTGTTTGCTTGAGTTTAAATTAACCATCATTTTCATTTTATGTAAAGCATAAATTCGGTGATTGGGCTTGAGCCACATTGTATGTTGAAGTTGTTGCAGTTTTGCAGCACATGCTGTAGTCCCAAACCCAAAAGTCAAATGTACACATCAGACAGGCCACAAAAACCTGAGGTCAGGATTAAGTTCATATGAATCATAAATATGTGAACTTTCATTTTTCTTAAATTAGTTAAGTTTCATCTATGTGAACAGCAATGTTCAAATATTGTAATCATTTTGAAAGCAAGAGGCTCAATTAAGGGGTTTAATATAAAGGTACTGAAACACAGAGATATTGGGTTTTCGGACTTTATCAATCGTCCTGGTTTTAAGATAACTAATAAAAACACGACGTTTCGGAAACTGGATCTGTTTCCGTCCTCAGGTGAGGGGAAGAACACCTATTCTGGGCTAGCTCTTTCTAAGGGACCCAACAGAATAAGTGTTTTTCCCCTCACCTGAGTACAGAAACAGATCCAGTTTCCGAAACGTTGTGTTTTTATTAGTTATCTTAAAACCAGGATGATTGATAAAGTCCGAAAACCCAATATCTCTGTGTGTTATACACCATTGTCAGAATCCTATAGTAACTACAGGTTTCTGAAAGTTAAGAAGGGCTCTTCAATTTTAACAGAGCCAGTAACGAAGAATGATATGATAGTGTGTACTTGTGAACTGTGTCAATTCCATGTCCAGCAAATCCAATTGTCAGTCCTAACCTTGTGTCTAGTCACTATCATGTGATAAATGGTGTCAGTAATGCTGCACTATTGAATTTGATTGGGATTACATGTGGAACTGACATGACAGCTTATCATGGGGTACAGCCTGGAATGTCTGTTGGCCACCATGCAGGGGATAAGGCCAGCCAAGAAATGATAAGAGCTGAAGATGAAGGGTGTCATACAGCCAAGAAAATTTGGAGGCTGTGGTAAACATCATTGGTCAGAATTTGAGAACACCATCAACAAGTGGATGGAGGTGTGCTGCCATCTGCTCACTAGTGGACCCAGGACCTCCATGAGGAATTCAGCATTCGGATTCAGGGGACACAACTGGATGTGCAAGTGGTGAAGGCATCTATAAATAAATGGACTCAGATTCTCTGTGAAGAACTTGCCATGGAGATCCAAGGGACATGGTAACAATATACAAGCTAGGACACTGGTAAAAGCCACATAGAGGGAGTTCAGAACCCAACTGGTAGAAGTTGAAGCCCACGTGGGACATGAATGTATCAGGAACACAGCAACCATGGCGGATAAGATAAAGCAAACAAGATTTGATTGGTCTATGTCCTTGAGTTTTTCGTTTCCAATTAAGGCCATTGTTGGAGCATAACAACTGACAGGATGGGAGAAAGCCGCACTCCTCTGGTGGCCCTGCAGTGGTACATTACCAGTGGCCTTCATAGTGCCCATACAGAAACAAAGTATGAAGACATTGTTGAGGTACCCAAGGGCCGCTGCAGAGACTACCAACTCAACGTGGCATTTCATTCCCAGCCAAAAGCTAGGACCTAGTTGATTGGCAAGTCCCTGCAAGAGTTTGAGCAGTTGGCCAACCCTTTTCTTGGTGGGCTACCTAGTACTTCATCCACAAGGAGGCAGCTTGTACATATGTTGACATGATAACAGACCAAGAAATGAACTTCTTTCTCCTCATGGGTGGCAAGAGAGTATTGGACAAGGCCCTCAGCCAGTCCCTGAGGGTATGTGCTGTGAAGGTGGCAGATATTCCACCGTCACGGCTGTGTGTAGTGAGGACTGGATTATCCATACGAATCCAGTCATCAGCGACTGAGTGCAGCAGGACTGGATGACCTGTATTCTGGAAGTATGGAGGTGTTGGCCATCTTAGGAGAGACCGCTGATAGGGATGCCCCCAGAAGAATTGTCTGAGTGGAGGTCAGCTGGAACCAGAGAGGTGAGTAAGGTATGGCACCAAGAAAGTACTGGTACCTTCACTCCCACCTACTCCTTACATACTGCCCATGTCGACAAAGGGTAGCAACAGTAGTTTAAATGCCAAGGACCACAGAGGAGACAAGTTGTATCTCCTGAGCATTGACACAGACATCAGTTACGATCACCAGGCCAGACATCATTGCAGGACTGCCTGAGAGGGAAATGATTTGGCTGTACATCCAGCATATGTTGTCCGGGGTTAGACCCTGCTCATCTTGAAGGAAGGGTTGATGGAACTGAGTCTGGGGCAGCACCTCTGACAACTTAAATGTTCATTACCAGAATCTCAGACAAGTTCATCCAGGGGCTGATGACTTGTGCGCTCATAATCCCTCATTGGATTTGGGGCTCTGTGTACCATGCACAGGCAAGGAACAGGTGCCATTGTGGCACCTAAGGGCATGATTGTGTTCTTCCCCCTATTTGGAAGGCAGCAGCAATATGGAAAAGTTGTGATAGCATGGCTGGAAGACCCTCAGGCAGCAGTAGATAGCGTAGCATGAATGGGATCTAAGGCCAGGTACTGAGGTGGAGTGCCCAGGACAAGAATGCCTGGTCAGCACCCCAAAAGTAGGTGTCTGTTGGGATGGCTAGAGACTACTGGTGGCAAAAGTACACTGACAGGTGCATCCACAAGGGGACCATGGTTGGCAGAATGTAATGCCCTAAGGAGGGAGAGCTGGATGATAATGATGTGAAACCAGTTCTACAGCATATGAAGGTAAGGCAATGTCCTAGATGGAAGGTGGGAAGTTGGAGCCAGTATGGCCACCATTTGCAATGGTGGTCTTGGAGTGGAGGAAATGAGAGGACATGTAGGCTTCTTGGGATGAGCAGCCTTAAGGAGGGTTCAGTATGCCATGAAGCCTAAAAGTGAGAATCTTGGAATCAGAAAAATGTCACAGAGGCATCGGTAGGTAGGTAGGTATGACTAGTGGCAGGTAACACTACCTCATCTGGTGAAAATCAGTCGATATTTTAGGGGAATATATGGCATCCAAAGGAGCCCTAGAAGATAAAACTTATCATACCCACTGCTGTGAGAATCTCAGGTCCTGTGTTAAACTGTGTTGTGATTAGTGCATGTTGTTCTGCAATACATAATGGGGTTTTATGCTTTGCCAGTGGATGTAAATCTATCCAGAGGCAAATAGTAATGAAACTCTTCTACATTCCTTGGAGTGAATGCGTTATGTTTGTTTTGTTTTATTCATGACTAGCTGCGAGAACCTGTCCCTGCCTGAGTTAAGTTTTGGTCTCCATTTTGGTTAAACACAGCACATTAAAAATGTCATCTTATATGAACAATTCTTCACTATCCCACATAGTAATCACAACCACATCGTGTTCTTTCAGAAATGCGCAATTGTGAATCATGTTACTGAAGACAGTGTCAACTTGCCCATAAAAATGTGCATTGTTATGTTTCTGTTATGCTTATAATAATGAATTTTGTAAATATTAATTTATTATTATTGGCATAGGGCTTCAGGATATGCAGTGTTGCTTGTTTTGTGATCTGGGGCCAAGATGAAGATGTTTTTGACTTTGCCTGCTCTGGAGATATCAACATAGAGTTGACAATGAAAAAAAAAACAATGTTTTTATAGGTTCAGGACAAAAACTGTGATTCTTTCTTTTTAATGCCAAGTGAATATGAAGACAGTTTTTACCTGCTTTGTGAACCAACCACTGAAACCGTTAACAACACTCAAAATTACGGCACAACTAAAACATTAATGTTATATGAACGTTTCTTCTGTCTCTCAGCAGCAATCACAAACACACATCCCAGCATATAACATCATATCACAGCAAGCCTCCACACTTTTGTGATCATCCAAAAATTCACAAACCAGACATTGCTTTGAGACCTACAGCAAGCTCTGTTGGTTCCCTTTGCTTTATAAGGTACTGAGTCTTCTTGCTGGAAAATAGAAATCCTTTATAAAGAATTTGGGCCACTTCATGCAGTTGTTGAAATCTTTAAACCTTCAGAGTCCAGATAACCTCGTCAAATTTGATTTGTTAGTCTTTCATTATTGTACCAGTCACTGATGCCCTGCAAGTCATCATGAATATGCTCCACGACAGTCATACATAGGTGGAGCGGTCTGTCTTGCAGGTCAAAGCCATCATAGAACTGCTGGAAGTTTGTTAACCAACTTTCAGGTGGGAGATAAGTTCTTCATCAGAAACATGGCATGGCTTTGGGAGGCTATCTTCTGGCATCTTAATGCAGAATTTTAAGAAACTGACTGAGCATAATGCAAACCATCACTGTGGCTCCAGTATGTAGATGACAGTAATCTGGCCTCATAGTCCATGTGTTACAAAATTTCTTCAACCACCTCAGTAGTCTAAGAACTTCAACTTACTGTGGAGTATAATTAGACATTATATGCCTTTTCTGGATGTTCTGGTCATCGGGAAATGGATGATACTGACCACTAAAGTTTTTAGAAAACTCATCCACACTGACTGATATCTGAACTAATCTAATCATCTCCTGCATGTTAAAAGGGCATTAATTTAGAGTCTCCATAGTAGAGCTTCTGCTGTGTGCCAAGAATGGCAAGCTGTGTTCAGTGAAAGTGACAGCCTGAGACATAATCTTCAGCTCACTGGTTATTCCCAAGGTTTCATTGACTTAGTTATTTGTTGCAAGGATAGTAGTAGTCATCCAGATAAAGAGGAGAAGCCTCTTGGCTCTGTGTATATCCTCAGTGTGAAGGCATATCAGGAAAGTGCAAATTTATAGGGAGTTGTTACATTAGGACCATCTTCAGAACAAACCACATTCTTAGGACTTCACTCATGAGAACTAGTTTGAAGGAGATCCACATTTTTCATTCATAACATTCTCCATGAATGTGGCAGAAGCTGCATTGGTGAAACAGGTAGACAGCTAGCCGTCCATCTCTGCACATAAGCGCAATCTTAAGGACGGTCTTTTAGAAAAATCAAAACCAATCCAACATGCATATGAAAAAGGTCGAGAGGTAGACAGGGATGAAGCAAAGATTTTGAAAACTGTAACAGCAGATATCGGAAATAAAATGAATCAGCCCATATGGTGTGCATAACCAATCTATTGAGCCATCTCACTTTGGTTATTTCTCCTGTATGGCTTCCCTTCATCAGCAGTGAGGTTAGCAGCTCATTGCTGAGTTCAATATAGTTTTATTTATGGGGTTCAATTTTTGTCACACAGATGGTGCTACTGTTTAGTATACATTCATTCGTTCATGTTTATTAATCCTATAGATCAGATTACATTGATGTAGAACATGTCACCTTATATAAATTATAAAATTAGCAAAAATACAATAAATTCTTAACCAATAAACTAACAAAATATGTAATGATTGTTTACATCTAGCTTGTATCATTATCCAGTATATAAGAATTCATCATTCATATAGTCTTCATTTGAGTAGTAACACCCATCAATGAGTAAATTCTTTAGTTCCCTTATAAACTGGTTTTCATTTTCAAGTTGTTTTATATTATTAGGTAATTTATTATAAAAGATACAACCAGCAACTGAAGATTTACTATTATAAAATTCTAAGTTCTGCACCAATTTATGGTAGTCATTGTTGTTTCTTGTATTGTGTGTGTGTACTTGTTTATTTACCATGCAGTTACACTTATTAGTTACATATAAGATGGTTTGTTGTATGTACAACAAATATACTGTTAAAATCTTTAAGTTGTTTAAAACTATCTGCATGATTCTAAAAGTTTTAACCCTGCAGTGTACCGTACTGCTCTTTTTTGAAGAATAAAAATTCTTTTAGTATGTGCCTTAGCACTGTGTCCCCATACTACAGTTCCATATGTTAGAAAGGATTAGATCGAAACATAATATAAAATTCTACCCTTGAGGATGAGTATTTTAGCAAGTCTGTTTATTATAAATAAATTGTGGCCAATTTGACTGCAGGTTCTATCAATATAAATATCCAAGCTCAAGGTACTGCCAGTTACTACCCCCAAAAAGTTTATATTTTTAACATTCTCTATTTCCATATTTTTGATTACAATTTTATATTTATGGTCCTGCCTAAATTCTTTTGTCTAAAAAAAAAAGAACATCAGTATATACTGATATATTGGGTTTCTGGACTTTATCCATTGTCCTAGTTTTTAAGATAACAAATAAAAACACGACGTTTCGGAAACTGGATCTGTTTCCGTCCTCAGGTGAAGGAGAAGGGGAACACCTATTCTGTTGGGCCCATTAGAAAGAGCCAGCCTCAATCACTGGACCTCACCTATTCTGTTGGGTCCGTTAGAAAGAGCTAGCCTCAATCACTGGCCTCAATCCAGTTTCCGAAACGTCGTGTTTTTATTTGTTATCTTAAAAACTAGGACGATGGATAAAGTCCAGAAACCCAATATATCAGTGTGTTATACACCATCGTCAGAATCCTATAGTAACTACATCAATATATACTGTTACAACATGAACATTTTCAGATAATTCATATGCGTTTGTGTTTGTGGATTTGGTTTGTTGCATTTATTTTCCTGCTTCTCTATGTATGTCAGGTCTGTACATGTATTATTACAATTTTTATTGCACATCTTGTAACCTTATGTTAACAAACGGTGATATCAGGATATACATAGCTATAGTTATAGTGATATAGAATATCCACAGAAGAAATAGTCTCATAATAAGATCTAAAAGTTGGTGACAACGGTATATTGCTACAAGTACGTAGGTCGTGCCAAAAGTCATGAGCAACTTTTGTTTGCATGCAACCTGGGAACAGCAGACGAAATAGAGTAGAGTGGTAGGTGGAGCCAGCTTTTGTGTTAACCTTGAGTGTCTTGTGACGTCAGTAGCTTGCATCACGTGAGCAGTATCACTCCTAACATAATGGCCGACAACGGTATGTCGTTTCACCAGCGTGCTGTCATCGAATTTCTTGTGAAAGAGGAAATCCATGCTGCAGAAATTCACCAGAGACTTAAGCATGCTTATGGAAGTGTGTGCATGGGTGCAAGCAGTGTTTGAAGATGCGTGAAACATTTTAAAGATGGGAACACGAGCATCGAAGATGAGCCTCAGAGCGGTCGTCCTCAAACAGCCTCAACTGAACGCAGCAAGGAAAGAGTGGATGAGATCATTCAAGATGACAGGCGTGTGACTGTGGACACAATAGCCCAAAAACTTTGAATAGGGCACAGTACAGTACAGGAGATGTTTGAAAGCTTGAGCTATAGGAAAGTTTGTGCTCGTTCGGTCTCGCGGTTATTGACTGAAGATCACGAAGGTCAGTAAAAAGCCATCACCTCAGAACTGCTGTAGAGATATTGACATGAAGGCGATGATTTTTTGCTCTGTATTGTGACAGGTGATGAAAGCTGGTTTCACCATTTTGAGCCTGAAACGAAACGGCAGAGTGTGGAATGGCACCATTTGCATTCTCCATCAAAAAAGAAGGCAAAAACTGCCATTAGCTGCGAAGGTGATGGGCACAGTCTTCTGGGATGCAGAGGGGTTTATTCTGGCAGAATTCCTGGAACCTGGGCAAACCATCAGTGCTGCTCGTTATGTCCAGACGCCGCACAAGCTCCGTCGTGCATTGCGCAATAAATATCCGGGATGAAACATCATCATCCTGCATGACAACGCTAGCCCCCACGCCACTCACCTCACATTGAAAGCAATTGCAAGGATGGGGTGGGAAGTTCTTCTACACCCCTCCTATAGCCCTGATCTGGCACCTTCCGACTACCATCTTTTCGGATTTGTGAAGGATCAGCTGCATGGACAACGTTTTGAGACAAGGGAGGCAATTCAGAAAGCAGTGCGTCAGTGTCTTCAGATGGCTGGAACGGAATTTTACAGAAGGGGAATTTTCAAACTCCCAGAACGCTGGGAGAAATGTGTACAAAGAAGTGGCAATTATGTGGAAAAATAAAGGAAGGCCTGTAGATTGGGGTGGTGTATTTGGTTTAAAGCATGTTACTTTACAAAAAATTGTTGCTCATGACTTTCAGTATGACCCTCGTATTATGTTTTTGGACATTATCCATCGTCTTGTCTATTTTCTAAAAACCATCCTGTTTCTTTTTTAAGACAACATTTCGGAGGCTGGATTCTGTCCCCATCCTCAGGTAGAACCTACTAGTTGGGTCCAATAGATGGAGCTAGCCCCTGTCTCCTATGTCCGGAGTAGTAGTAGGTTTTACCTGAGGATGGGGACAGAATCCAGTCTCCGAAACGTGTTTTCAAAAAGAAACAGGACAGTTTTTAGAAAATAGACAAGACGATGGATAATGTCCAAAAACATAATACTTGTAAATAGTCTCATGATTGACAGAGAAATATAGTCGTGGGTTCCACAGGACCCAGAAATAAGAATGACTGTGCGGGCAAGGGCCAGAATAAACTTACCCTACCCACATATGATGTTTTAGTTAATGAAGTTAGTTTTCCATAATGTAGCCAGCCTAATAGATGCCTCAGCTGTCCAAAACGCTTAAGAATATTAAACTGTTCTACCTATGATATATTTCCATAAGGGGATAAAATGTTCAAGTTTATCCAGCCCTAGTTGTCAAAGGCTTTTAAATAACTGTTCTACCTATGGTGGAACATATTTCTCAAAAGGGATTTTGGACATGGATGAAATGTCTATAATATTTAATGGATCAGTGGATAGACATTCAACTGATGAGTGTCTGCCGGTGCACATAAATTTTTCTCTGAAGTGTGACGGACCAGGGCTAGAAAATTGTTCGTGCCTTTGGTTTCCCAACCAGGGGGTTGGGTGGTCTGAGTCAACTAGCAGTTAACTGTGTTACCGGTTGAGATCATGACAGTTGTCTTTATAGTTGTGATAATCTTGCGATAGATGGCAGGATGATCTCGAGTCATCTGAACGGTTACATTGCATTGAGTAGAATTGGAGGTTACTGCCGGTTACGATAAATCCAACATACTTGGATACGACGTCGTGTACTCCATTGAATTTTAACAGAGGTTTCGGAAGAATATGTCACCTACATCGAAATGGTCGAAGCAAGAAACCATCATGTCTCATCCTTGAATTCAGTTTCTGATCTGTAGTTCGTAGTGTGATCCGTTGGGTTTGTGACGATCCGTGGCGATACGGTCGTGTTGCCGCTTGTTGCTATCCCTGGAACTCTTTTTTACCGTGATTACAATGACCCATGGCTTGTAGGTCTGGAGAAAAATGTGGGAAAATGGAAGTACGAGAAATTGAAGAGTGTACGAAAGAAGCATACGAAATGCAACTTTTTGGATATAGCTCACGGACAGTTAGCGAATGTGGTAAATGAAACCTCAAAAAAATATTGACTCTGTGTTATTGTGTTACTACTTTTAGACGGTTTGAAAGCCCCTTTGAATTCCTAATGTAAACCACCCCAAGTTAACTCCTTGTGTCACACGTATTGCGAATTTCTTTCCAGGAACGTTTATGGTAGTTAACTCCGCCGTAAAAATTCAGAATTATTCAAATACAGTAATCGACAATGGTCTTTAAAGACATCTCGAGGAAAGATCCTATTTCTATCAACTTGTGTGTGGAATCTCTAATCATGATGCTTAATTTGTAGTCATAAAAAGTATTTTTATTTATTATTTTTAGGTGTAGTTCGGAAATTGAATATTGGAAGGGTTGGAATTTATTCTGTGGGAAACTCCTTGGTAAACGTTTAGCATATATTTTTAATAAATCCTTAACAGTAGGTGAATTTCAAGGTCATTTGAAATATTCGGTTGTTAATCTGTTATTTAGAAAAGAAAGAAAGTTTGAATTAACTAATCATAGACCTCTTTCCTTGCTTACAGTTTTATTTAACTATTGATTTATCGTAGGTTTAATAAGAGTTCCAGACTGACAGGATCTTTGTTACATAATATAGTTTTAGAAAAGGACTGTACATTTGATGTTACACATAAGCTTACTGAAATTATTTTAAATGCCTGGAACAACAATTGATACATTTCAGATGTTTTTTGCGACCTGACTAAAGCATTTGATTATGTAAATCCAGAATTATTGCTAAAAAAAATTGCAATTTTACAATGGCAAAGGGTTACTGAGAGAGTGGTTTGAATTGTACTTGTACAATAGGAAACAAAGGGTGGAATTGAAGTTTTCAGGTACATGTAATTATTCTTCATCTTGGAAAATTGTTTAATCTGGTGTACCTCAGGGATTGGTATTGGAAGCATTCCTATTTAACATCTTTATTATGATTTCACGGGTTTATTTGATAACGCTAATGTGATATGTGTGCCAGTGACAAGTATTTTAATTTCCGATAGTAGGTGTGAAGAACTCAATAAAATCCTTAAATGACATTCTGTATAACCCCATCAAATGTTTGCAGGTCAGTCAGCTGGCATTAAGTATGGAAAAGACTAAAATAGTAACATTTACTCCTGCAAATCTTTCGAATTCCTCATTACTAATAACCTCTGGTGAAAATTTTCTTGTCATAACAAATGTTATAAAAATGTTATAAATGTTTTATGCGTTTAACTGGACAGTCAACTTTTATGGAAGCCCAATATATATTTTTTGCTACATAACCTGAGTTCAGTTCATTTTATAAGGAGAATATTATGTCATATTCTTAATATACAAACTTTCAGGACTGTTTATTTTACACATTTTCACTCTTTGGTTAATTATGGAATAATATTTTGGGGTACACTAGTTCTGCGCATAAGGTATTCCTAATTCTAAAAAATGTATTAAGGATTACATTGAAATTAAGTTCATGGAGTTCCTGCAGAAAATGTTTTTAAAAATTGGAGATTTTACTTATTCCATGTTTGTATAATTATTCATTAATGCTGTTTTTTGTGAATAACATGCGTTACCTTCAGACTAACTCTTCTGCTCATGGCATTAATGCATGATATAAGAACCAATTACACATATCCCTAGTTAGACTACCTGCTATCCAGAGAGGTAATGCATATTCTGCTATTAAAGTATTCAATGAATTGCCACCTAGTATATCTAGACTAAAAAGTGATAAGCACTTTTTATGTCTGCTTTAAGGAATTATCATCTTGCACTTTTTTTATTCTACAGAAGAGTTTATATCAAACTATTAGTTCATTTTTTATAAAAGTGTTTTTAATCATGTTAAGCTTTTGTAGTCTTCTGTATTGTCAACTTTTTAAGCACTTATACTCATATTTTGTTATACTAGATTCTGTACTTACTTTGTCATTAATGTACTGTATATATGTTATTGTTATATTATTGTTTAATGTCTTTCTTTTTTGCTCAAGTTGTATTGTGCAACATAACATCTCCTGTTATGTTTCATATTCACCCATCAATTGACGAATATTGGATAAATGAGGTGTATATGTGTGTATGTGTGAGTGCAGGTATGTGCGTGTGTATATATATATATGTGTGTGTGTGTGTGTGTGTGTGTGTGTGTGTGTCTGTAATGGATATTAAATTATCATAATTGCAAGACATAAATTTGACTTACAAATATTATTTTTAAATTAAAAAATTAAAAAAAAACACATGTTAAAACATTTTAAATCAACTCTTGCTAAGGCAGAGAAGGCGGTGTCTGAAAATAATGAATGGAAAGTGAAATGTATCAAAGTATCGTATAAACAAACAAGATCTTTCATAAATTGTCACTGTAGTAACAATCAAATAATGAAAAATACTGCAACCAGTATTACAAGGTTTTATGTCATTAAAGCAGGCAAATATGTGCATAACAATAAGCAGATATTAGAGTCAGTAAAGTAAAGCAGTCTGGAAAACTGTGAAAAAAGAAGCAGGTAAATGTACAGAAAAATTATACTCCATTAAAATTGATGGATTACAACAAAAACTTCCTATACTAATAGCAAACTCTTTCAATACTTCTTAATAATTATAGAAACTGAACAATGACAGAAAACTCAACAGTAGGAGATTCAACAAAGTACCTAACAAAAGTACTGCCAAAATATTTTTTTGAACATATACGAGTATACCCACAACAACAAATGAAATTAATAATATTGTAACGTGACAATATGTGACAATATAATAAATCATGTTAAATAAAAAATAGTGTGGTTATGATGAAATATCAGTAAAATTACAGAAAACTTGCAGAGGCTACAGTACTGACCCTTTAAAAAGTTACCATTTCAGTCAGTCAGTGGCAGTAGGATCTTTCCCAGAATGCAAAATGCAGAAACATTAAATTCGATAAATATCTTTCACCAAAATATCAGAGGCTTGAGGAGCAAAAGCGATGAATTACTACACTCTTTTGAAATAGGCAACATAAACCCTCACATATTATGTCTAAGTGAACATCACATGGTTGAACAGGAATTGCTGCTCCTCTCAATGAATGGTTACCTGTTAGGCTCAAGTTTTTGCCGAAAGAGCCTACAGAGGGGAGGAGAGTGTATTTTTGTTAAGCCAGATCTACATTTCAGTAAAACTGATATTTCTCATCACTGTAAGGAACATGACTTTGAAATTGGTGCAATACAGCTAGTAACAAAAACATCTCATCTAATTATATTAAGCCTATACAGAGGCCCTTCAGGAGAAGTTAATGAACTTCTAAGGAAACTAGATGCAACTTTAAAATATCTGTACAATCCAAAGTCTGAGTTTATAATATGTGAACACATAAACTATTTAAATGAAAACAGTCAGAAAAAACAAGTAAACTCTTTAATAAGGACATACAGTCTGTCACATGCAGTGAAATTTTGCAACAAGAGTTCAGAATTCCTCAAGAACAGCCATTGATAATATCTTTATAGATAATGCAAGGTTAAGCTCTTCTTGTACATCTCCTATAGTCAACGGCCTCTCTGACCATGATGCTCAATTCCTTACAGTAAATAATATTACTGTGTAAGTAAATTCAACACACTTGAAACAGAGAACCAGAAAAATAAATAGTGAAACCATTGCTCAATTTCAACATCTATTAGAAAATGAAACGTGGGAAACTGTTTTCAAAAATTACAAATTATAAATTTTTCTAAATATCTTTGAAGCCAGTTTTCCTATGCAGAATAAAAGTGTAAATAATATAAAAAACCACTGGATTACACAAGGAATAAATATAGCTTGTAAACATAAAGGGCGTCTGTATGTAGACAGTAGGAGCAATAATAATCCTGACATGAGAGCATACTACATAAGGTATTGCAAAATCCTGAGTGGAGTTATAAAAGAGGCTAAAGGGCAGCATTACTGTAGGCTTATAGTAACATCAAATAATCAGATAAAAACAACCTGGAATATAATAAAACATGAAACAGGAAAATCACATCTGACTGAACAGATACCATCTCTCCTTATAAATGATGAAAAAGTTGAGGACCCAGGGGAAATTGCAGATGCCTTCAATACTTTTTTTCTAACAATTACAGAAAATCTAAACTTACATCAGGACGTGGGAGATAATGTCATTTCATTTTTAAGAGAGGCATTTCCTAGAGAATTCCCTGGTATTAAAACCATTCCAACCACTGAAACTAAAATAAAAAGTATAATACATTCCCTCAAAACCAAAAACTCTTCAGGTTATGATGGAATAACAAGTAAAATTTTAAAAGTTTCTGCATCTCTAATCAGTAGCCTGTTAACTCACATCTATAATCACTCACTATCCACAGGGATCTTTCCTGATTGTCTTGAGATTTCAATAGTAAGACCACTATATAAAAAGGGGGACAAGACTATTATGTCAAACTACAGGCCAATGTCACTGCTAACTACTTTCTCTAAAGTACTTGAAAAAGTTATGCACAGTAGGTTAAGCCATTAATTTTAGAGTAACAGTATAATAGTCCCAGAACAGTTTGGCTTTGGGAAAGGAATTTCCATTGAAAATGCAGCCTTTAAGTTAACAGACAGTGTGTTGAAATCTATTAATCAAAAAATGCATGTTGGTGGAATATTCTGTGATTTAACAAAGGCTTTGACTGTGTAAATCATGAAATTTTATTAATTGAATTACATTTTTTTGGCATTCAAGGAACAACGTTAAGTTGGTTCAGATCCTACCTAACAGATAGAAAACAAAATATTGAAATAAAAATCATCAAATTCAATCCAAAGTACCTACTCAAAATGGGGAATAATAAAACATGGAGTTCCACAAGGGTCAATTTTGGGGCCTTTGCTTTTCATAATTTATATAAACGACCTCCCTCCTACACTAAGGACCTCATCAATACCTATAATATTTGCAGATGACACTCATGTTATAATTTCTGGTAAAAATTTAGATGATTTCTGCATGTTATCAAGCAAGGTTCTTTCGCAAATGAGTAAATGGTTTTCTGCAAACAAGCTGTCCCTAAAGCTATAAAAAACAAATATAATAAAATTTATAACAAAAATCTATCCACAATATCCATTAAACATAGGATATAATGATAAATATATAGAAGAGGGAGTAAACACAAAATTCCTTGGCTTGCAAATTGATAATTATTTAAACTGGAAAAATCATATCGATCAGTTGATTCCAGAGCTAAGTAGAGCATGTTATGCAGTTAGATTCATGTTACATATTAGTAACACTGACACTCTCAAATCAATCTATTTTGCTTACTTTCACTTTTTAATGAAGTATGGAATAATTTTCTGTGGTAATTCATCTGACAGTAAAAAGGTATTTACATTGCAAATGAAAATTGTTAGAATCATGATAGGAATCCCGTAATTCCTGTAGAGATCTATTTAAGAGACTACAGATCTTAACTTTGCCTTGTGAATATATATATTCATTAATAAACTTCATTACAAATAACGAAGAACATTTTCAGACGAATGCAGATGAACACAGTGTTAACACGACACAAACACTGTCTTCATAAACCAATTGCTAACCTCTCATACTTTTAAAAGCGTATATTATGCTGGGATCAAAATTTTTAATAACCTGCCATCTGATCTCAAAGGTCTTATGAATGAAAAGGCACGATTTAAAACAGCACTGAAACAATACTTAAATACACATTCATTCTACTCTGTTGATGAATACCTATTGTCTAGAAAATAATTTATGTATCTTTAAATAGCCTTGTGTGTAGACACTGGTTTCTCTTGTGTGACATATTCCACATCCTACAGTCATTTTGACTAATGTTGGATCCATGGAATTCAATGCAATGTAATGTAATATAATAATGTAAATATTAACAAGAAGTTCTGGGAAGAACCGATTACCTTGGACCACAGAGAAAATTATGTCTCCAGCAATTCTACATTGCCATGGGAATGTCTTTACCCAGCTGATACCTAGAAATGATAAGGACATACACAGTACACAGATCTACAGACTCTCGTTTGATTAGACATGGTCTGCACAGGAAATGACTCTTCCAATAATTCTTATATTTTCTGTATTCATTGCTGCAGGAACATGTTTATTGAGCCATTGCCTAGCAAAGACAGGAGGGATACTCTTTACTGAGACTTTGCCAAGCATCAGTAGGAGATATACGTGTACAGACACGTAGACTGATGGGAGGGGTTTATGAGGAATGCCACTGAGATTGGCTCAGTTGCCATAATATACTTGCCAAGTTTCATAAAGATTGGTTCAGACATATGAAAGTTGAGTGGGGGGGATATCGAGGCCAGAGAAAGCGAAACCATTATCTATAAAAGGTGAAAAATCTTGCATATCCAATTACAGACCAAATGTAATATTTTTGCTCTAGCCAGAGAATTCATACTCTAATTATTATTATTATCATTTGCTGTTGGCAACATGAAAGAATTTTAGACAGATTTGGAGATAACACAGGGTAGGTACAAGATACAGTGATTCAAGCTCCATTTGCCAGTCATTAACCTCAGTAAATGGCAGAATGGAGTGTACTCTACTGGAATTAAGTTATTCAGTAATCTTCATCCTGCAGCAAAAGATTAAATCATCATATAGAACTGTTTAAACTAGTTTTAAAAAGAGTATCTTCTCTCCCATACTCTGTAGAATTTACTAAATTAATAATGGTGAAGCTTCCTTGATGTTGTCAGATGTTAAATGACTAGATGTGGGGTTTGGATTGATAATTGGATTTATTGAACACTTGTAACTTGTAACTACAAATAATTATAACACTATTGGTAATCTACATACTTACCAACCACTGCTGCAGACACGAAGTCTTCTCAGTCTGCTACATCTTGACTAGTCATTGCTTGGTAGTGGCTCCCAGCAGTGACTCCTTCTGCTTCCATGCTCACAGTGTTGCCAACTCTATCATCTCATGACTGGTCCTCATCTTCCTCTCAACAGCCACTCATAGAGTTGCAGTCAGAGTTACTTTATGACTGGTGGTATACCTCCAGTCAGTTTGTCTTGGTGACAAGCCCCTTGAGACTCACAACCAGGAATTTTATTTTCCAACAACATTTGCAGTTATAGCCCTTATATAATATCCTCTCTGATGGGAGGATGGGTCTATCATTTACAATTGCTGCTGGTCCTTGCAAGCGCAGTCATTCTCATGTCTGAGTCACACAGAACTCATGACCACATTTTCCTGTCTCAGATTCGAGACTCTCCCCCACCCGGAGGGCTGGGAACAAGGTGGTCTGGTTATACCCCCAGGCACTGGGTTCCCTTTTCATCTCTTACAACTTGCAGGGCTACAGTGGAGGTATTCAACCCTGCCTGCACATGGGAGCCACTCATAAATGTTAGTGACCTAGTTACTTAGCCTCGACACAGACCACATAAAGGACATCATTGGACATCATTTCCATGGCATCTGTGTTTGTTGCATGTTTATCCATTGCTGCAATCCATGTTTCTTGAGCTGTGGAAGTATGTTTAGTTTGTGCTTATCAGTGAGCAATTTCTTCTGGCTCCATTATCCCAGCCTTTCAACTGTCATGTTGCAGTGTGATTACTTTGGTCTAATACTGTACTGTCAGAGATATCTGTATGTGAATTTATATTTGTTTTGGAAACAAGAACGTGTTTGTATTGTGACTTGTTTTACATCTTTGTCTTATATCTGAAGGATCTGTGTAATGCACATATAACTGTTGTATGAGAGGTAAAACTGTTAGGTGAGGGTATAGTTGGATCTGCACTTTGTTTTTAATGACCATAGTCAGGTACATTATTATCTGGAAGTCACATTATGTATCAGATACCCTTGCACTTTTTTGTTCCGAAAATGACCATAGTAGGTATGTCATTAATTGGAAAAGTTTATTGTTATGTGTTCATTTGCAGTTACAAAATGGCTTTTTGTTATCTTCAAGTGTTTGTGAAAATGTTAGTGAGAACCATTCATTCCCCTCATTTGGATTTTCCATGAAGTGAGCCCCTGGATTCCATAAAATGTTGGCAATTTTTTTTGGTAGCTGAGCAACTGTTAACTTCTCAAGTATGGCTCATCTGCATGGAGCTAATTATAACATTTCTAAGAAAACATCATTGCTGATAGTTTAGAATGGATTATATGGTATCTGCTAGAGCAAGATTTTAAACTGATTCTGCTGTATTAAAGGCTGACATGAACAGCCCACCAGTTCTCTGCAATTTTAAGGTCAGTGGGAATTTGTAGTAAAACTAGATTCTTTTCAAGCTTTGTGTGAAAAATAATTACAGTACCAGTGTACTACAAATATTTCTGTTTAGGTTATAGTTTCTAGTAATTCGCCTCATTTGCCCATGTGATGTTTTGACATAGTTTCTAGCAGACATATGTAGTGTGATAACTAAGGTAAAACAGTGTTTTCTACTATTTGGATGACAAATTTTTGTTAAGTGCATATTTGGCAACAGGTTAAGTTAGTTTCTATGCTTTAACTTTGTTTAATTTACTGTGGACAAGTTTTACGTATGGTTTACTTTTCCCATGTGCAGGCTCAACTTAATTACGGTATCATTTTTTGGGGCTCTTCTTCATTAATGAAAAGTATATTTACTGTACAAAAAAGAGCATTAAGAGTCTTGTTAAGATTAGGGCCAAGGAGTTCATGTAGGGAAGGCTTTAAGACAGCGGGCATACTTACTGTCCCCTGTTTATATATATATTCCATAGTTTTGTTTGTGCTCAAAAATCCTGATATGTATCAGGTGAATAATGGCATACACAAATTAAGTACTAGGGGACATAATAAACTACATGTTTCCTTTGTGAGATTATCTTCCATTCAAAAGAGTGTGCATTTTTCATCCATTAGAATATTTAATAACTTGCCATACAATATATATTCTTTGAAAGACAATATTAATACTTTTAAACAAAGGCTAAAAGATTATCTTATTTTAAATGCATTTTATTCGGTAGATGAATACATGGCATACAGGCAAGCATAATACATTATTGTTGTCTTTCCAAGATTATGTATTATCTAGATTTGTTATATGACTGCTTTTTATTTTATTATTGTGTTTTTTATTTTATAATTGTTGAGACTAGATTGCATTTTGCAATGTCATTTTGCTGACGAATTCAATATCCAGTCCGGTTTCCAGACAATGGATCTGTGAAATTATGTATCTATGCATGTATGTATGTACTCTGTGGTGTCATGTTTGTGCTAAAAAGACTGAAGTTTGTGGTCATTCAGGTATATAATTCTTGTTAAGTTACTGATTTCCACTGTCTTGCCTATAACCCTTTAGTGTGTTCTCTGCTTTCCTTTCATATTCTAATTTTGCCCTGTTTTCTGGTTTGTACAGTATGCAGCATTGCATTAGAGAGAATGCAAGAAGCAACAGAATTAATGCATCAGTGCCTCCTACAAAAGTTACCACAGTCAGAGACAGCTATTCAGTCAGCAACAGAGCAGTTTTTGAAAGAAAGTACCAATGCGGCAGTACAGCAGTTGAAGCACGTATCGGTACGATACAGTTTATCTTTCGTTTTTGATTTTTAAAACAATTGATTTTTTTACTTTCTCATGTATATACAGGGTGTCCCAGGAGGAATGGACCAAACTTCGGGAGGGTGTTCCTTATGTTAAAGTATGCCGATATAACCCAAAACACCTATGTCCAAAGTTGAACGGTTATGGAGATAATGGCCCACGAAAAGTGTGGCCTTCTGGCAGGTCCATGCACAGTACCTCTCAGCTGAGAGGCCTTATCTATGTGCTTGAGTGCCCTGATTCACCCTAGCCGTACGTATGTAGTTGGCTTTATCAGAACGCGCAGTCAGCCACGTTACGTCAGCGCTTGCCATTCATGTGTCATGTATAGTGCTTGGAAACCCTAATGACAATTATGACATGGCGAGCGAGTATTTTGTACTTCAATTTTATGGCTTCATGTCACTCACAAGTTAGTTTGATGTTACGTACAAGGTGTGGCAATAAAGAAACCGGATTCATGCTCTAACCCTTTATTAAAAAAAAATCAGACAGTCGAAATGTTATCCCCTTCAATGTAGTCCCCTCCCCGATCCCTACACCGCTCCATGCGAATTTTCCACTGTTGGAAGCAGTGCTGCAGGTCATCTTGTGTTATGCTCTTCAAGAGTTGCGTCGCTTTTGCTTTCACTGCATCCACGGACTCGAACCTGGTCCCTTTCAGCGCAGACT